TCAGTGGCTGGGTCTCGCAAATTATCTCCACAAGTACACGAAGAAGTACGCCGGATTGATCCAGCCGCTCTCTTCGTTGTTGAAGAAAGATGTGTCGTGGTCGTGGACTTCCGCACATCAAGCCGCCTTCGACTCGGTGAAGAAGAGTCTCGCCGAGGCCCCAATCCTCGCGCTCCCGGATGACTCGAAGCCTTTTCACGTCGTCTGCGACGCGAGCGATTTCGCCATCGGCTGTGCGCTGATGCAATTCGATGAAGAAGATCGAGAGCGTGTCGTAAGCTACCAGTCTAGGCAGATGAAGCCGGCGGAGCTCAACTACCCTGTTCACGACAAGGAGCTCCTTGCGATGCGCTACGCTCTGATCAAGTTCAGAGTGTACTTGTTGGGTGAGGATACCTTCGCGGTGTACACCGATCATGCATCGCTGAGGACAGCGATGAAGAGTCCTCATCTCTCCCAACGGATGGCCCGCTGGCTTTCGTTCTTCTCCGAGTACAACTTCGTTGTCCACTACAAACCCGGCAAGAACAACATTCTCGGCGACGCTTTGTCTCGGCGTCCCGACTACGACCCACGCGGTGCATTGGGTCGACAAGCTTCGCTGGATGAAGACGATGTAGACGAGTGTGCCACGTGCGAGGCGTCAGGCGTCAACCTGACGAGCGTCTCCCCGGTAATGCCACTTCGCGACGAGATCCGAGCTGCTTACGAACATGACTCGACGTGCTCCAGTATCCTACGAACATGACTCGACGTGCTCCAGTATCCTGAAGCATCTCCGCTCTCCCAGCGCCGACACACTGGGAGCCCTTTCCCGCTCTGTACGAAACAAAATCCACCGATATCGTCTCGAGGACGAGCTGCTGGCGTACAGCATCGACAACGTGTCGTTGTCCCTAACGACCCCGATCTGCGCTCACGGATTATCCATGAGTTTCATGATGCCCCGCTGGGCGCTCATCTCGGTCGCGAGAAGACATTTGCCGCTGTGTCACGCGACTTTTATTGGCCACACCTGTACAACTGGGTGCGTAAGTGGGTGCGCACCTGCGAGACCTGCCAGCGCATGAAACCTGCCTCGTCTTTGCAGGCTCCCTTGCGTCCTCTACCAGTGGCCACCGAGGCCTGGCGCTCGGTGTCGATGGACTTCATCTTCGGGCTCCCACCCGATGCTAAAGGACGATCAGGTGTCTTGGTATTCGTAGACCGCTTCAGCAAGATGGTTCACCTGATTCCGGTGTCGGATGCGATCACCGCGGCAGATACCGCGGTGCACTTCCTCGATGCTGTCTTCCGTCATCATGGCCTTCCCGAATCTATCGTCTCCGACCGCGACCCGCGCTTCAA